ATCTTTTCTTTATCTTTTCTTCTCATCCTTTTTTCTTGGCCGGATCACATGCTAGTTTTTGATTTTCAGCTTTGAGCCTCTAGATCTCTTTGCTCGAGGTTTGATGGTCGGTAGGGACTAATTCCGTGAAGTCCTCCATTCTCATTTTCTTCCCTTTAGGCTAGCTAGGCACAACACTCGGATCTTGTGGTGTTACCGACTCACTCCCTTCAACATGATGGTTTGGACATCCATTTCCCACGGCTTAGTCGAGTTAGCTAATTGTTTGCAGTCTTTCACCCTATTTGTTTGCCATGTGAGGTGTCTCTTGGTCATCACTAATTGATGATCAACCATTCCTCCTCCCACTACTCTCGCAGTTAACCAATCCTGTAGAACCCGTTCGAGGAACTCGGGAGTGGCATCCTTCTCAAGTTTTCCTTCAAACTTGTTTAGGCCCACGATTCTAGTGGATAGCTCGTTCATAGCCCGATTGCCTTGATACCATGGAGGGAGCATAACAAGTATACTCGGCTGCTCCTATTAGAGGAACCTAAGGTCGTGCTCTATAGTAAACTATGTATGCCCTTCGATTCATCCAAACCGTCTTCCACAGAAAGCCCCCGGTCGACAAGCTCAAAAATGATGAAAACCACTCTCGTTCGGACTTGTTTTTCCATTTACCGACCAAGAACTCTTTCAATGGTTCTTGATTAGTCCACTAGCATGTCTTGAAAATCGATTTATGGGCTTCGAAATGGCTAATTACCCATACAAAAAGTAGCTAAACATAACATTTCATACTCCCTTTCCTAAACCTCCCGTAGTGACTCGGTGAGGAGAAGGTTTCAGCTAGGATGGAAGTGGTAGGATTTATGGAGTGTTTCTCCACCTCGATGAAGACATTGGCTACATTTAGATCGATTAAACCAATTATTGAGGGAAAAAATACCAACCCAAAGATCATAAATGCTAAAATTTTGAGATCGTTTAGGGTAGCCTTTGGGTCCTTTAGTTTTTGCTTGAACACATCCAACCAGCTCTCAAAGTGTCATCCTTCGACATTGCTTTTAGCTTTACCATGAGTCATGCTTATGTCTAACCAATCCTCTACCCTTTTTCAGCATCTAATCTTCTTCGATATAAATATATTCGATGTAGAGTGCTCGACATGTTTAAAAGCCGATGATACTACTCCAAGGTCGGGATCATGTCTAGTCCTCTTATGGTGAAACATTTGTATGAAGGGTCCCATAGACGAGCCAACGCCTTCGAGCGGGCTTCTAACCGGCACCTCTAGCAACACTCGCGAGATTTCAATATTTAGCTCGAAACCCGTACTCGGTAATCGGGGCTCAACATCTTTCAACAATCAAGCAGCTTTTTGGTGTCATTAATCACCGACTAGAAGTGTGTGATCTCTTTATAATTGCTCCGAAATTCCAATCCTAGGTAATCTCCCTCCGTTTGTTGTAAAGCCTCATAATTTTTGTTGAATTCGGCCACCAAGTGAGTTTGGATCTAAATTCTTTTGTCACCCATCCCGAAACATCACGACTAGATTGCTTAGTCAAGGTTTCGACATATCTAGCTTGCCTAGTGAATTTATACAAGAAAGTTAGTCCTAGGGTCCGGTTCTAGCCATTACATGATTGGGTAGGATCTATCTAAGTCTCAAAGGGTTCCTTTTTGGCCCGAAAGACCCGAGGCCGATCAAGTGCGAAGCTAGTAATCGTGGAGACCATTAAATACCTATCGCGATAGTGACGGCTTTCCAAAAGAGTTGAGGTTTCGTGAGTGTTACCTCGAGGCGAAACCCATCGAGGCAATAGTAATTCCTCCCTAGATTCTAAAGCGAGTGCGGATGTCATAAAATTATGCAATATGGTGTGTGCATGGGCATTATTCCATATCTAGTCTCAAATAAAAATAAAACGGAGGTACAAATAGAAAAAGAAACACGGAAAATCAAAACAAAAAAATAATAAGTAAGAATCAAGAAAAATAAGCAAATAATTAGATAAATAAATAAAATAAAATTCGAGGTAAACAATAAAACAAAAGGCATAAATTTAAACACGATAGGCAAATTACAAAAATAGGCTAACATGTGTAAAAAAATTGACCACATCATCGAAATCAAACTCAAAACTCGCATGCAAAGCTTAGCCCTAAGTATTTTCCCTAGTGGAGTCGTCATTCTATCGTAAGGCGACGTCGGGCGGTGAGGTAAAATATAGGGCAAATGATTGTAGTCGACACCTAGTATTACGGTTACTAGGAAACTTCATGACTGGTCCGTTCAAAGTTTTTGGTAAGGGGTTTATTACGTATAGGAAAGATCAAAAGTTACCCTATCCCATCTTGCTTAAGGCAAGTCGTATTGCATACAACCTTAATTTGACTTCGATGAAAGTGCCCCTTTGTTGAGTGATTCGGGACTTGGTCGATCGAAAACCTTATCCTCACTCTGTAATAAATGACTAAAATGATGAACACAAGGATATGTTGCTAGTGTGGCTCAAACGACATTCATGAGAAACAAAACTTAAAATGGGCAAATAGGCAACACGGATAGAAATAGGCAAATAATAACAAAATAGATAAATTGGCAAATAGGTAAAAATTGACAAACACACAAATTGGCAAAATCGATAAACGAGCAAATAGACAATTAGACAAAAATCGACAAATATGCAAAATAGGCAATCATAGGCAGAAATAGGCAAACTTAGGTAATCATAGGCAAAAATATGCTAAAATCAACTACATAGGCAAACATAGGAAAACATCGACAATTGAGGCAAAAATAGGCTAAAATCAAGAACAAAAACGAAAGCCACGACTTTGGCCAAAATAGATAACGAAACATGAAAGCCACCACTTTGGTTAAAATCGGCAACAAAAGCGAAAGCCACGACTTTGATCAAAATCGACAATGAAAATGAAAGCCACAAATTTGGTTAAAATCAACAACGAAAAACGAAAACGACGAACTTTGGCCAAAATCGATAACGAAAAACGAAAGCCACAATAAGCCAAAATCGACAACGAAAAACAAAATTGACAATGAAAAACAAAGTCATTGCTTTGGCCAAAATCGACAACAAAATCGCAAATTGGCAACTTTAGATAAAAGTAGGCTAAAATCAACAAAACGAACACACATCGACAAAATTTGACGAGAACCGACAATGGGACCAAAATCGGAGAAAACGCACAAAAATCAATAAAATTAATTACTTTAGCATGCTTAACAAGAATGGAATTACATGGCAACATTTCAAACTTTAATGACTCGATTTTTTATACAAGTTATCATGCAAGATGCGATTTTAAAATATGCATTTGAATACCAATAAATATCAACACGTTTAAACCAACGCATCATTCCAATCATATCGTAAAAAAAAATCAAAAGTACACATCATTGCAATTCAAACGGATTACACATGAATAAACAAATTAAATTACATCACATTCATTCAATTAATTACATGACATATATGACATGAAGCAAATTTAATACATGTAATAATAATAATAATAATAATAATAATAATAATAAAAGAAAATAAAGCAAAAAAAAGTAAAAAAAAATTATCGTAAAGAAGAAAAAGAGGCGAGCTGATTTTCTTGATGATCGTGAGGTCGGATCCGACCTTTTTAACTCCGATGGAGACTAATACTTAGTCAACCGAGGAGGAAAGGTGGCCGTCGGCGCATCGGGGAGGCGCTAATCGAGGCGAGGCGAGCTGCCGGCGCCGGTATGTGCTCGGCCGGAGCGCTCGACGCTAGTGAGCCAGGCGTTGGTGTTGGCGCAAGCCGGGCACTCGGCGCTAGGCACCGGGTGTTAGTGCCGGCCCACGCCGGGCATTGGCGTTGGCGTTGGCGTTGAAGCTCGGTTGGCTCGAGCAATAGACGTTGGTGCTAGCGCGCTCAGGCACCGACGTTGGCGCCGACGCCGGTTGGCTCGGCGCTAGGTGCTCGGCGAGGATGCCCGTTGGCATGCTTCGGGGCTCGTCGCTGGAGGCACCGGTGGAGGCCTGGGGGAAGTGTATGGGCTGCCGGTGGAGGCTATGGCGTGTGGGAGGTCTGCGTGGTTGGTGCCTGGCGGGCGCGGAAGGCGTTGGTGGAGGCTCAGGGGAGGCACGCGGGCCGCCTGGAGGAGGTCGTGGCATGTGGGAGGCTGCTGCTGCTCGTGGTTGGAGGAGGTCGGCGACTAGGTTATTTTTTAAGGAAGAGAGTGAACAGTAGCTACCCTTTGTGAGAGAAAAAGAGGGCTTTTATACTAGCTTTTTAGGATTTTTTTGACAAAAATATGTTTTGGTCCCTCATTTTAAAAACTAATTTTATTTTGCTTCCTTTCTCTTTTCTTCTTCGATTGCACCCCAATTGCATTATTTTTTTTACTTCCTTTTTCTCATTTTTCTTTTTCTTTTTCTCTCTTTTTTTTTTTTTTTTTTTTGACCCAAAATTTGGTGCTAACAATATATATATTTGTGCAAATTTTTTTACTTTAATTATTGTTGCATTTTTTCAATGTAATGTCATGAAAAAAATAATTAAATTGAATTTTTTTTTTTTTTTTTTTTGGCAAAATCACTACCCCATGATACAGTATCCTTTAAACATGTCAAAAAGGCAGGCGTGACCGTTGCAGTGGTTTAAGATGTTTGGCATTATGCATGCTGTTCTTTACTTTATCCAACTGAATTACTGGCTTCACCATGCCACCAATAAGCAAATATCAGGGAAGCCAATGCTACTTGCAGTACCAAACCCAGGGGTAGGTGCAATGCTAGTTTAATGGGTCTTTCTACATATTTAATTACATGTTGAAGATAATTTAAGTAATTGCATCATAAGGCAAGATTCTTGCAGCATAAAATATTCCTTGGGCCAGGATGTTCCTTACTATTCTATTTATTCATTTATAATCCTATTATATAAATTGACAACCTTGGCAAGGTTGTAGGGCCATAGCATTCATCAAAATATCTTTCCACTTATCTACACAAATGGCTCCAAGCTTTCTTGATGGAAACTCACTGTTCAATTTTGTTGTCAGAGATGGCAATGGTGTGAAGGGCATGGTGGATTTAGGTCTATCAGAGGTACCAGAAAAATATGTGCAACCACCGAAAGAAAGAATAGACAAGCTTAATGCAATCATACATGATAACCCACCAATTGATTTGTCAAAGCTGGACGGACCTGACCATGACCTTGTAGTGGACGAAATTGCTAGAGCTGCTGAGACTTTGGGGTTCTTCCAAGTGGCGAACCATGGTGTGCCGGTGGACGTGCTTGAGTCACTTAAGGATGCTGCTAACCATTTCTTTGGCCAACCTCCTGAAAAGAAGGCTGCCTACCGTGTCGGTGCGAGCCCTAGCCCATCGGTGAAGTACGGTACAAGTTTTGTGCCAGAGAAAGAGAAGGCATTAGAGTGGAAGGACTACATTAGCATGCTTTATACCACCGATGCTGAAGCTCATGAATATTGGCCTAAAGAATGCAAGTGAGTTATTTATTTATTTTCCCTCATGGTTGTTAAGGTTCCGAGGCTTGGATGCATGAGAATTCAAATTCTATTCTCCATCACTAATTAGACACTAATTTACCTTCAATTAAAACCATGACGCGGAGTAGTGATCAAGAATCAATATCATTTAAAGGATTAATTACTTTTGAGTGCTTTCTTAGTATGCGATAGATGCTAGAAATATATATTTTTTTTTGGAACTCAATCATGTGTCAGGATGTACTTATTGCGCTTCTGTCGTGCATCAAACTGAAACTCTGGCTAATCATAAATGTTGTTAACTTTCGTTAGGGATGTGGCACTCGAGTACCTAAGAACATCAATGAAGATGGTGAGAAAACTTCTAAAAGTTTTAATTGGGAAGCTTGGAGTGACATTGGATGATTCAAACATCGATGGGCTAATTGGTTTGAAGATAGTCAACATGAACTTCTATCCAACATGCCCTAATCCAGAGCTCACTGTTGGTGTAGGGCGCCACTCGGACATGGGCGTACTTACTGTATTATTGCAAGACGGCATTGGTGGTCTATATGTTAAAATGGAAGAAGAGATAGATGGCAAGAGAAAGGGGGATTGGGTGGAGATCCCTCCAGTTGCTGGTGCTTTGGTCATCAATGTTGGTGACACCTTGCAGGTTATAAACCCGAAATTAGAATAAAATTTCTGAAAAATCCGATATCAGCTTCCTCTCATCATTTCGATTTTGTTCGATTATGTTTATTAAATCTGAATTTTAAATTTTAAAATAAGAAGGACATGATTTTAGTATATGTTAAAAGATGAAAAAACATTTATCACTTTTTTTTCTTTCTCCTAAGTACCAGATTATTGAATTCGAAAGTAACGATAATATTTGAAATTTGATAAATCATATTTATATTTCCGTCTAACTATGAGATGATGCAAATCCACGAATCTATACATTACTTTAACATTTCTAAATTTGTCATTGTTCTCAAACTACAACTAATATATATATATATATGAGGGAATTTTCAGTAAGTATGACAGAAGTCAAACCTATTTTACTTGCTAATACCACCAAATGACATGTTTCCATTAGATACTAAGCAATGGAAGGTACAAAAGTGCTGAACATAGAGTGCGTACTACAAGCACTAAATCAAGAGTGTCCATCCCAATCTTTACTATCCCAAAACCAACAGAGAAGATTGGACCATTGCCTCAAGTAGTGGAGGGAGATGGAGTTGCTCGTTACCGGGAGTTCGTCTTCCAAGAATACATGAATAACTTCTTTAGCAATGCTCATGATGGAAAGAAGTCTCTTGATTTTGCAAAGAACATATAGCCTGGCCGCATGATGCAATTATAACTTTGATTCATGCCTATGTATTAATGTATTCTCATTGTTCTTATCAATTGTCTTGCTTTCCGTTTGTGCCTAGCTTGTTGAAGTTTCTCTCCTTGTAACAAAACACTTTTCCGTCCTCTAGTGTCTCTCAGTATTTTTGTAATAATCTTGATTTGAGTTAATTATATTATATATACCCTCTGGATTCCGTATTTTCAAAATTTTGATTCGTATATCTTATATTTTAATTACTGTTATAAGTTATATCATCTTGTATTTTAATTACTGTTATAATTTATATCCTGTTATTGAGCTGTTAGTTAAACTTTAATTTGCAGATTTCCAACTTTTTACGGACATAAATTTAATGTGCAATCTCTTGAATGACCTTCTTATCAGGTAGGATGAAATAAATTGAGCCTGGTTCTAAAAAATCCAAATTATCCAAACTAATTTAGATAACAAATTTTTAAAATTTAATGAATGGATAATTTAGATAATTTGGAATTTTTTTCTCTTATTCGGATAATATAAAAAATAGACTACCCAAATTACCCCTATTTTAGTGTACTGACTTATTAAATTTTTCTAATCAAGTGTCACTACAACAATCTTGTTAAATGGCTTTAGCGATGGATTAGAAACGAAATCCAATATGTCGCTAAAGTGGTGATCGGTATTTTTTTTTAGTCACAATTTTTTTTTCTATCATTATTTTGTTGATATTTCATCGCTAAATGGTTTTAAATCAATTGTCCCCGACATCTTGTATCCATCGCTAACCGTTACTATTTCAATTTATTTTCGTCGCTAAAGCGCGATGGATTATGTGGTTGCTATTTTTGTTGTTAATATCATCGCAAATTCGTTGCTATTTAACAATTGAGTATCATACATCATTAATTTTCATCTCTATTTTGTTCTAATTTTATTTTTTTATTTTTTTTAATGAATTACCGTTTATTAGAAATTGTATCAACAAAAAAAAAAAAAACACACCAAATTAAAACATGTTTGCTATTGAATAAAATTAAAATTATATTAATTAGAATAAAATAAATAAATAAATACGCTAAAATGTATAAAAATATTAAGAAATCTTTTTAAACAAACAAGAAATTTAATCCTTATTATCATCATCTCCCGCATCATCTTTCGACCGCCAACCGTTGCGGTTGAATGTTGAGAAGAGTGACTAACTATCTGGGTTATGAGAGGATCAACGGGAGAAATAGGAGGTTCTCTAACAAACCCAAAACTCTCTCGCAACCGAGTCAACATGCTTTTAATGTAATGGCTTATTGCTAGATAGTAGCCTCCATCCCCTTGATCCGATCTTTATACTTGGACGTAAATCTCTTGGATATTACCACTAGAATACCACAAAAGTGCCAAAGGAGGAGCATGCATTAGAATGCGAATAACATTGGGATACATAAGTTCCGATGCCTCACACTCTTTACTTCTTCTCTCTTTTGATAGCATCTAAATATATCTTGAACATGTCGATATTTTAAATTGATGAATCACCCACCTACCGCTCCTTAGTAGTTACTTTTTGCATTGATTACTCGTGCTCCTAAGTCATTGAAATAATAACAATATTAAATTTTGAATATATTTCGTAGATTATATTAGTAGATGTATATATTTTTTTAAAAAAAATATATAAAACCTTGTTATTACTCGTTTGCGATTGCTTATAGACGAATGTCTCATCCTTCTATTTATGAGTGGTCACGAACAACTCGTTAGGATTTGGGCTACGACTCAATTAATAATGCTGAAAAAAATGAGATGAAATAAACAAAAAATTAATTTATAGCACAATGGATAATGTAGTACTTACCAAATGTTTAGTGTGATCGATCAACGAGATAGATCTTCAAGTACGCTTGGATAGGCCAACACCAACACCATCGATCTTCGACATATGGTTTCAAGATCCTCGCCGAGATCAAGCTTGATACTCGAGAGTTTCCCAATCTTGGTGTCATGTTTCTCACACCTTATGTTTAATAAACATAGGATCGTTATCCTTATTCTTCATCTTGTTGAACATGTTGCCTTATTGCCTTCATGTCGGACTCTCTCATGTATCTTTAATTAGTACATCGACGATCGCATCCTACAAAAAATACTTCTACATAAAGGTAAAATATAGTATTAGTACTTTTTATGTTAAATTAACGCTTTAAATGGAATACAAGAAAATAATTAATATATTACCCAAAACTTATTAAAGTAGAAGTTTTTTGTCCCCATGGAGACGAGACTTTCTTGTGGAGCTAGTAATGTCCAACTATTCTTTGAAAATTATAGTGATTTTTATAAAGCACTTACTTGGTGAAACATAACTCGTCGAACAAAATAAATAAATAATAAATAAGTGAATTAATGATTTCAATATAATATATAAAAAAATAAAATTAATTATCGCATTTAAAACATATTACTTATTAGTTAATTATAAACCAAATGGTATGTGAATCATTAGATCTAGTAGAACTTCTTAGAGTCGACAAAACCATAATGGGATTTATTAAAGGATCATCTCACCTAAAAGCTTAAGTTGATAGGTGAGACCCATAATATAATTTATATTAGTTTTTAACACACCCTCTCAAGTGAAAAGCCTCAACATTTGGGCTTTAAACTTATACGAGTCCACTTTGTCTTGTGCTTAATACTTGAGAAATTGAGGATGGTAAGACTTGAACTCGGGACCACATAGTCAACCAAGCTCGATACTATATTAAAAGACCATCTTACCTAAAAGCTTAAGTTGATAGGTGAGGCCCCGGACTATAATTTATATTAATCTTTAACGGGATGATCCACGGAAGGGGGCACTACTAAAGAGGGTACCACTGTAGGGGATGCGGACGTGCCCGCACCACTATCAAGTGTTTGACCACGACCGATTGGACCGGTAATGCCACGTATACCATCACTATTAGTTGAACGATCAATATCAAAGCCACAACCATTGACATCGCGACCAGTTGAACTAGCACTATTAGTCGAATAGTCAATATCAAAGCTATAACCATTGACATCGCAATCGGATCCGCCCAATCCATGAGGAAAAATTGCTCATTTGAATAGTAAAACGCACGATAATTTGAGAGTGGATGAATAGTGAAATGGACAGTGACTAAGAATTTTGTTATAGATTTCTTTGTAATTTCTAGAATTATTAGGTAGTTTTCTTTGGGAAAAATTTAATGTTTGATAATTTCAATTACATCCTTGATTCTAAATAATTGAGTTTAAACATGAAAAAAATATCAAATTTGAAGATTATTTTGGTTTCTTTATTATTTGGTAGGTTGTCCTAATCATTTTGGTTTGAAATTTTTAGGATTTATACATATACATATTGTTAGCTTATGTTTTAAATTTCATTACTTTTAGAATTCATTTGATATTTATTTGCATTTTTTTTCTATTATGCTATCAATTGATTTATTCGGAGGTGATGTTTTGAAAATTAAATTATTTGAGCTTATTCATGGTTTATTTTTGTCTTAGAATTTGTAGAAGATGTGTGTGTGTGTGTGTGTAAGTTTTTGTTAACTTTTCATTGAATTTCAATTTTGTTCAATATTTATTTTGGTATTTTTCTTTTATGTCACGCTTATGTTTGTTTGACATATGAATTGTTGAATGGAGATTTATATGGTTATAAGTGAGATCGTCGAGTCTTTAAGTCTTCTAGGTTCTAGTGACTAATGACGATCTCGTATCAAGTTTCATTTATAATTAGGTAAAGAATATCTTTTTAGGTATGTCATAACCCAAAATCTGGGTTATAGTTATTTTTTGTTATTTTTCTAGAATTTTTCACTAATTATATTACTTTTATTTTTATTTACTTTATTTTATTTTTCATGGTCAATTTTACAAGTTTTATTTAGGATTTTATTTTATTTTATTTATTTTCGTAAGAAAAGAAAAAAGAGCAGAAAAAAATACAATATATATATGCAAAAATATGAAAAATTAGATGGCGTAATTAATTAAGGTATAATTGAAAGAAATATGGACTGAAATTGAAAATAATTAGGGATGAAATTGAATGAAATATGGGCATAATTGAATGAAATTGAGAGTAGAATTGAAAGCCAATAGAAGTGAAATTGAATTGAAAAGGGGGATGTAATTGTAAAAGAGTAACACACAAAAGGAGACAACTCACCTGTTTTAAGTAACAAGCACTATTTATTTTCTTCTTTCCCCACCATGTTTTTTTCACCAAAACAAAAGATAAAGAATCAACTAGTTTTTCTCTCATTTTTGTCACATGCACTCACTCCTCTCATAGCTATCCTTGTACCCTCTATCTTCATAAAATCCAAACAAAAAGTGTACAGTATCATATCTTCTAAGAGTAGAAACTGAAATCAATGGATTTGGCTGGAGGATTGATAAGAAAAGTTAACCCAATTTCAACTCCACCAATTTCCCAAAGTGCCAAAAAAAAAAAAAAAAAAATCCAAGATTTTACTTTTTGTTTTTCTTGTCTATATATGTAGTATTTTCCGTCCTCTCTCTTGTGTGTTTTGTTTTCTAGCTATCTCTTATATTTATAGAATAAAAATGTGATTATCGAGATTATTATTAACTATTTTAGGGATATTAGGAGATATTATGAAATGATTTTTTAATAGAGATTAAGAAGTGTTGGGTGTGATTTTTTTGCCAAGAATTAGTCTAGGTACATTAAAAATTGAAGAAAAGCAAATGTCTTGATTTATATTAAGAATGAAGATCAAGTCTAATAATGGATGAAAAATTCGAGATAAAATTGCTGAAAACAAGAAGAAGAAAGAGAGAAGAAGAAAAGAAAAAAAAAAAGGGTCGAAATTCAACCTAGGGAAACGACGTCGTTTTTTGGGTTCCTTGTTTTATTTTTTTCTTTCCTCTTCAAGCGAAACGCACCATTCACTAAGTTTTTTCCTTTGTTTTTAATTTGGTCCTTATACTTCAACGTTTATTTGTTTCTGCTCTTAATATTTTTTTCCTTTTAATTACATATTCTAATTGATGATTATAGTTTATATCTTTTGATTTCAGTCCTCTTTCTTACAAATTTTCTTGAAATTCACCATTGGTTCTTTCTTTTTAACAGCTTCTTTCTTCTATTAATTATAATTTGGCCCCAACTTCTTTTAATTGTTTTTTTTACATTTTTTTCTTTTTCATCTAGCTCTTTTTTATTTTTTCTCTTCTCTTCTCTTCTTCTTTTTTTTATTTCTCTTTCTAATAACATAAATATTACAAAAAAAATTATATTTAATTTATTATAACAAACCACATTGATTTTAGTACATCAAATACCAAAACAACATTAAAACAACAAATAAAAAAATATATTTGTGAACTGAAAAAGGACTTAGCTGGAGTGTAGTGTTGAAGCATCGAATCAAACTAGTTATCAATAAAACTAAAGTAAAATATAGTTTTATTATTCATTCACTATTTGAAACATTATTCACATACTCATAAATTACCATTCTTTTCACTATTCATTATATTTTTGTAACACTTTGGTCCTTAAATTTTTTATACTTTTTTTTTCAATTTCAAACTTTAATTATATTGTGATTTGGTTCAATTTTATTTTAGCATTTTTTGTTAATTACTTTTATTATTTAAAATTTACTATTTTAATTTGTCATTTTTGTAAAATTTTCTTTCTTTTTTCAATTTCAAATTTTAATTATATTGTTATTTGGTCCCATTTTGTTTTAGTGTTTTTTGTTAATTATTTTTATTATTTAGAATTTACAACTTTAATTTGTCATTTATTTTAAATTCTCATCTAATTAATTTAAAATTATATTTATTCACATTTTTTATTTTTTTCTATATGTAAGGATTTTGGAATAAATTTTTAGAATATGATTATTTTTTCTTTTGAAAAATAGATTTAGATAATTTTTAAATTATAGTGACATGATTAATATATATAATTTGTCCGAAATACATTTTTAGATTAAAAATGTATTTGAAATAATTTTTTTCTTTTTTTATATTATTTTAAATTTACTATATTAATTTGTCATTTTTTTAAATTCTCTTTTTTTTTTTTCAATTTCAAACTTTTATCATATTGTGATTTGTTCACATTTTGTTTTAGTATTTTTTGTTAATCATTTTTATTATTTAAAATTTACTACTTTAATTTGTCATTCTTTTTAAAATTGTCATCTAATTAATTTAAAATTATATTTGCTGACAATTTTGATTTATTTTTTTATATGTATGGCTTTGAAATAAATTTTTAGAACATGATTATTATTTTTTTTGAAAAATAGATTTAGATAAATTTTAAATTATAGTGGCGTGATTAATATATATAATTTTTCATATTAATTTGTCATTTGTTTTAACATTCTCTTATTTTTTTTTAATTTCAAACTTTGATTGTATTGTAATTTAATCCCATTTTGTTTTAGTGTTTTTTGTTAATTCTTTTTATTATTTAACATTTACTACTTTAATTTGTCATTTTTTAAAATTTTCATCCAATTAATTTAAAATTATATTTATTGACAATTTTGATTTATTTTTCTATATGTGGGGATTTTGGAATAAATTTTTAGAATATGATTATTTTTTTCTTTTGAAAAATAGATTTAAATAACTTTTAAATTACGGTGACATGATTAATATATAAATTTATCTAAAATACATTTTTAGATTAAAAGTGTATTTCAAATAATTTTTTTTATTTTTTTTAGAAAAAAAATCAAATCAATTAATTAATAGTTGAAAGTCAAATTAATATAGTTTTTTATTTTAATATTATTCATTCTTTTGTAAATAAATATATAAAAAATAAATTCACATTGTTTCAAAAACCGATATTCTTATCAATATTAAATAAAAAATTATTTATTCAATTCTACGTAAAATTTTAAGAATTATTATTTATTTTTTTCGACACAATCTTATGAAATACTAAAGCTTTTTTAAAAATAATTATTTATTTTTTTAGTTAATAATCAATGGATTAAAAAGGATAAATCCTTTTTCTAAAGAAAAAATTATGAAAAACAGAAATAAGAAATAATTAAATACAAAATTTGTTATTAAAAAATTATGAATAAATTTTTTATTTTTTATTTTATATATTTTTATATATTCATGTTTTAAAACATATTAACAAACTAAAATAATTATTTTAAATAATTTTATATATTTTATCTAGCTTATTGCGTAGCTCGATTAAAAAACCTGGTGAGTACTAGTTGTGCTAATCTCATCTGACTCCTTTATATCTTATTTATTTTTTGTTTTTTTCCCCCATAGATTCCGTCTGGTGCATACCCAACATCAAAGGATGAATCTAGACATCAGTTTTTTTTATTGGGAGGTTTGGTTGTGATTGTATGGTAGTAATAAAAAATCGCGATTAAAAAAAAAGTTTAATGAAGCATCTATTTTATATTTTTGGAGAATGCTAGAAAAGCTTCTAAATGGAGTTTCCTTTAGAAAAACTGTAAGAAAATTTTAGATTTTCTGGTATTTTAGTAAACCCAGTCTTGAAGGAGTTTTTATTTACAACGTGGCTGGCTTCTTATCAGCCAGAGTTGTCTCCAGCAGCTGTCCAAGTGATCCAAAGAAGGACAATAAGAACAAAGAAAACATCATGGATGCAGACAAGGCTGAGTTCTTGAGGGAGTTCGGTTCCGACTATGGTTACCCAAACGGTCCAAAATCTATCGACGAGATTCGAGCCACTGAATTCAATCGATTAGACCAAAAGGGTCCCTTTCTTTAACCTCTAATGCTTCTTTTCTTGTTACTGTTTATAGTTTCAATTTGTTATTTATATATATATATATTTTTTGCAGGTATTGTGTATCTAGATCATGCTGGTGCTACTTTATACTCTGAGTTACAAATGGAAGCAATCTTTAAAGATTTCAGCTCAAATGTCTATGCAAACCCACGTATCCTCTCTGTTATTTTATTTTATTTTATTTTATTTGTTTTGTTTGACTATTTAAGCTGTAAATGTGAAAATTCTTTAATTTTGGGGGGAAAAAAATAGATAGCCACAGTGATTCCAGTTCTGCAACATCTGACATTATAAGAGAAGCTCGACAACTGGTAAACTTTGTTTGATTTTGATTGTTATGGGAAATTTTTTTGTGGGTTTTCTTTTGTTTGTTGAATTATGATGTTTTTTGTGTTTTTGATGGGAAGGTGCTTGATTATTGCAATGCATCTGCTAAAGAGTATAAATGCATATTTACTTCCGGGGCGACCGCGGCTTTGAAGTTGGTCGGGGAGGCGTTTCCGTGGAGTAGGGAGAGTTGTTTTACGTATACTATGGAGAATCATAATAGTGTGCTTGGTATTAGAGAGTATCCTTGAATTTGTGGAATCACCTAGCTGTGGGTTTTGTTATTGCTAATTGATTATATTAAGTGCTTGCTGCGTAATGATTCCTCACTTGGATTCATGTGGGGCCACAGTAGTTACGAAAAGTGGGTCCCACATGAATTTGAGAGAAGGTGCATAGACACCGGTAGAGCTCAACAATTTCTCATCATTTTTTATCCTCATTTCGCTCTCAAGATTCTATAAATTATAGATTTGTTTATCCTTGATAAGTTTTAGATATGCTCTCAGTAAAGGGGCTGCAGCATTTGCAGTAGATGTTGTAGATAATGTTAATGGAGGTGGAGTATCTAAAGGCCATGAGGCGCAGGTGAAGTTATCACCGCACTCATTGCAAAGGAGAAATGAAGCTAAAATCCTAGAAGAGGAGCCTACAGGTAATTTTTGGAACTTATAGTCAGTATGTTAAAACTTCTATTTAGGAACTGACAAGACATTGTGTTTAGTTTAAATCATCATGTAATATTTTTCATCCGTGATTTATAGCATTCAGATGAAAAGTTTGGTATATATTTCCTGTTGGCCTGTCTGTAGGATATCGTATGATGCTTTAATGAGGGGAAAAAAATGGAAGATTATTGATTACATCATAGAAAATGATAGTTACCCTCCAGCTTTTGATTATGTTGGAGTTAGCTTCATTGGACCTAACTCTATCTTCATCTTGTATTTTGCTTGTTTCAGCCAATGCTTATAACCTATTCGCCTTCCCTTCGGAGTGCAATTTCTCTGGCTTGAGATTCAGCCTTGACTTAGCTAATCTTGTTAAGGAAAATCCTGAAAGAATTTTGGAAGGCTCTCCATTTTGCAAGTATGTAAGTACTATCATATTGTGTTATTTTTCCATTTTCTTCCAACGATGGGCTTCTTTCTTATGGTTAGCTCCTTCCAGGGAACTTATTACAAGCTAATTTGTTTGTATTGATTACCTAGGGCTGGCCATATATCAAGTAAATAAGTTGCATATCACCATAAACTCATTGATTTGATTTTGGGCCAAAAACATGTTTTACTTTATGAGTTAGAAAATGTAAACAAAGTGAAGAAAATAAAACCATTAATTGCCTTCTTCTTGTGACCTCACCCATCGACCCTGTTTTGCTGGAGGCCATCAGGAAAGTCTCAGATAAAGTGGAACTGGAGTTCTTTTTGTCTATTTAAACTGCAGAGACTTTACTGGTTCTTTAGTAAGCATTGATCAATAGTCTTCTTGGTTTGGTAAATAGGGGTCGCTGGATGGTCTTGGTTGATGCTGCAAAAGGATGTACTACACGCCCTCCAGATTTATCAAAGTACCCTGTGGATTTTGTTGTAATCTCTTTCTATAAGGTATATGCATTTTGCTCTGTATTCATGTATTCTTTTAAACTATCATTCCATATTCACGTTTTGACTTATTTGTCTTGTAAAGTTATTTGGCTATCCAACTGGACTTGGTGCTCTCATTGTTCAAAATGGTAAGAGCTTGGTTTTGAAAGATTTAATGCTAGATGTGGTTGCTTTTAAGGTCATTGAGAGCTTTTCTTAGAGTTTCTCTAGTCTCGACATACCAAGGATCACTCTGTTGGATTACTGATATGGGATGTGAGACGTCACAGTTCTCTAACTTTCGTTTACATTATTGTGATGCTACAGATGCTGCCAAGTTGATGACAAAGACTTACTTTAGTGGAGGTTTGTGATTAGATGTGTTAATAATTAATCAATATATAATATGTCTATAACTTTGACTGATTTTCAAAACATTTTCAGGCACAGTTGCTGCATCGTTTGCTGACATGGACTTTGTTAGAAGAAGAGAAGGTATTGAAGAGCTCTTCGAGGATGGCACCATTTCATTTCTGAGCATAGCATCAATACGCCAGGGGTTCAGAATCCTCAATTCCCTATCTCCATCTATGATGAGTCGGTATGTAAAATTGGTCAGTTTTTTTCTGGACTTATTGTACTTTGTTGAATGGAAACACTTGCGATTTGACTATAAAATTTGTTGGAGATTGAATTTAATTTTTGAACAACATTTGTTGGAGATTGACTGGGTAGAGGAATTTATTGAAAAAAGTATTTTAAAGATTAAGGCTCGTAAGTTTTCTTTATATGAATTGCATAATCTTCTATAGCAAGTCAGCCTGTTCTTAACCAGAGTTGTATGTGCAATCTAATGTGGAGTCGATGATTTATTCAATTTTCTCATAAGAGCTGTTGAATCTAACAAGGTTCTCTTTGGTGGTAGTCAGTTGTCAAGAAGCCACACTAAGTGGAGAATTTGATCGGGCCCTATACTTTTATGCCCTTTCTGTTCCATTTAGGGAAGGAAATAGTGGACTTTGGAGAAGTCGAACTACTATCCATACCCTGTCCATCCTCAGTTTTAGAGGTCACTTGTGGCGTTTCAATATTCATATCTCACATTGTAGAATGACAATTTTTATGTCTATTGAGTTGCTTGTCATTTTTTATTTTCTATTTTTAATTTCTTCTTAAACTAATCTGGTTAAATTATAAGATCATTAGTTCTGAGTTTCTGACATGATTTCTGTACCTTGTATAAGGCTGCAATACCTAATCTATTTATTTCAACTTGTAACTTTTTTTCCCTCTTTTTTTTGGCCTTTCAGGCACACTGCAGCTCTTACCATGTATGTCAAGAAGATGCTATTGGGTCTAAGGCATGAACATGAAGCTAATGTTTGCACCATTTATGAAAATCATGATTTGAAGGTCAGTTCATGCAAGTAATTCCATATGTTTTCCCATTAGTCTAGGCTCTGTCCGGTGGAATGACATTTAACTATAGTACAAGCACTGGCACAATATTCTTTTATTATTCAAAAGCACATCTATATTATTATCCATGTTTTTGTTCTCATGTATGAACGAGTAGAGTATGGGTAGTCTAATGCACATTTATTGTTAAAACTTCATTTTCTTACGAATAAAAATTATGCTGTGTTGATTTACAAGGTTCGTTTATTTCTTGTCTCATTGTGGCCCTAATTGCTCGGTAGTCAGTGGTTGTTTGACCGTGCTAAGTGATCACATTGCAGCTATTGTGTGGCGAGTGCACTATATGGCACATGCCTACCAAACACTGCTGTCACTTATTGCAAGTCTGCATCTTTCTTATCCTACAGAAGTAGTTGAACATTGATTTTAGAAAAACTAGAGTGGTTGCTTTTGTTCGACAGTAGTCAATGACAAGGTCAAACTGACCTATGCCTAAGCACTGGAATATCACATGTAATGCTCACTAGATATGTCAAATTTCCACTAATTAATTCCATAGGCTTCATCTCCAGAATTATGCATCCTAAAGTGTGCTGAGCATCAATAATAGATGATGCAGCCCGCGTACTGGGTGATGAATGTAGCCCACGTACTGGGTGATGAGTAACTGTAATTCATAATCCTGGCACTGTTTAGAAATATACTTTAATTTTCTCCTCTTGGGGGTGCTTTTTTTTTTTTTTTTCGTTAATCCCTTTTGTGCATCTACATGTGCAATTATATGAACGAAGCGAATATGCATGCATCTTTTTTATATTTTAGTTACTTTTGCTGGGTTCAATCCTAATACAGGTTGCAACTCTCCTCTTTCAGTTAGTTTGTCATGAATCAGGTTCCATAGTGTCATTCAACTTGAAAAGGCCTGATGGCTCGTGGTTTGGATACAGTGAGGTGGAAAAGCTCGCTTCCTTGTCTGGAATTCAGTTACGGGTAACATTTGTGAAATTCTGAATCTTTGGTGCATGTGTGCGCTTGTTCGTTTGTCATCCTCTGCAGAATGCTCGTCTCTTATCTCTTTTTATTTAATTGCCAAGTATTCAAATTGAAACCTGATTCCTATCCCACCATGAGTTGGAAGATCCAGCTGATTTGACCATGTAGCTAAACAACAGCTGATATTATCTCTTACTTAAGAAAGAAATGGAGAGGTGGTCTTATCATTTTTATCAATTAATCATCTTACTTTGTATCAACCTTTTTTTGTGAAAACTCCTTTTCTATTCTTTTTCAAATAAACGTTTTTTTTTCCTAAATATAGATGGGTGCTTGTGTATGCTTCTGGCAATATGACCTTGTTCTCACACCTTCAAGCATAATAAACACAAATGGGGTGAAATGGGACAGAAGAACTCATTTGAGGGCCAGATGGCATACTGTGTTATGTTATCTTTTTTATTCAGAGATTTTCCTTGATGTTCACGCTGATTTTAATGATCTCAGACAAACTTAAAGTAGTCAGCAACTGAATCAATCTTCATTATGGGATGCTGATGGTATTTGTTTGCTACTTGTCTGTTGTTTTTGTGTAGACAGGATGCTTTTGTAATCCAGGAGCATGTGCAAAATATCTTGGCTTGTCTCACCTAGATCTTCTTTCAAACTTAGAGGTACTTGTTTGCTAGATTCTACTTAAAAGAGAAAAAGAATAAAAGAGTTCACTGAGTTGTTATTGCTGTTGTATTAACTGCATTGCATTAGTTTGCTTGGTGGTTTAATGCAAATTGTAACATTTTAATGCTTTTCTTCTTCTTTTAAATTCAGGCTGGTCATGTTTGTTGGGATGACAATGATATTATACAAGGAAAACCAACTGGGGCTGTTAGAGTATCATTTGGTTACATGTCTACATATGAAGATGCCAAGGTAGTTACTGCTATTCTGTGCACAACAGTCCGATTTGAAGGAAAAAGAATTATCTCTTATTCTTTGTTATGTCCATGCAGATTCTGTTGCTACTTGATTGCATTTATAAAGGAATGGCATTTATCTAAATGTTTGGTAGAGTCCATGGTTGTTTTAAATGTACTGTTTGTAACAAAGTGAAGTTCCCAAAGAATTTATCAGATGCTGTTAGGTCTTAATGTAATCGAGTTCTTGATAGCTGATTCCTCTTGTTTTCTTTTCAATTTTGGACGTGCAGAAATTTATTGATTTTATCACAAGTTCATTTGTGTCGATGCCAAATAAGTTGGAAAACAGGAATATGTTGAGAACAAAATCCATATCCTCATCAAATGAAGGTTAATTTTCACTTTGATTTACACTCTTGCGAATGTAATGAAAATTTCACATCTTTATACCTTAAAGTTCCCAGTGGTCATATTACAGTGTATATCGTCGCTTAATATCCCCTCAAAATTTTACCAGACTAAAGACTGCAGATTTTTGTGTCAGATATGGTCCCTTTCACCTGTCAACTAATTCTATGCTTACACTGCAGGCCTTGAAAGAAATGCTGTTTATCACCTCAAGTCTATAACAGTTTACCCAATAAAATCATGTGCAGGATTCAGTGTGGAAAGTTGGCCTCTGACAAGTACTGGTATCAATTTGTTTTTCTTTTTAACGCTAAATAAGCTTTTCAGTTGGAATGTTGGATCACATAGATTTGTGAACTATATTTGTATACTTATCTTGTAGTTGAACATTTATCTTTCAGTTTCTTAGTTTTTGTTCTAGAATAACAAATATCACTAAAAAATGAGTATCTTTAACAAATTGAAGATGCAGGCAAACTAAACAGTATTGCCATTAGGTACATGCATAAGTTCATCTTTGGATTTTTCGTTTTTATCATATTTTCATTTCCTAATGTTAAAAGCACATTCTGCCAGTCACTTCCCATGCCAGTAGTTTTCGATTTGTATTAACAGATGAAAACTTCTTATTGCATCTCACAGTTCTGCATATTGTTTATTTTCTTTCTGGAAATGTTATTACACCCAAATTTTCCTGTAAATTGTGTGGCTATATCCTGTTTCTAGTTGTAGTCGCAATCCCAAAAACTAAGCTATTAAGTTGACATGCCATACATCAAATAATATTCTAATCCTTGTTAGTGTCAGGAAGAGCCCATAAACTGTATAAAGCTTGAACCTTAGTTATACAGTTAATGTGAGATTCCTTAATAATCCCCTCTGACATTATTTGACACAATTAAATAAGGAAAGCTATCCCAATCTGAAACTAAACAGGCAGCCTTTAAATGAGTTATGTGCATGACACACACACATGTAATGAATATGGTATATGTAGTCTATGAACATGCAAATATAATGAGCCATGACACTGTTAGAGCATTCAAAACCGAAAAGCATAAGCTTTTCGTTTAGCAGCCCTTAAGCTATATTAGCCAACAAAAACTCAGTCACGGCTAATGTAGGATCTAATATTATATCCCTTTGACTCATCGAAACGTTTTATTGAGGTGCAGTCTCAACATTTACAGGAATCTTAGATAGTAATCATAGATTATGGTACTGATATGAGTTGAAATTTTATTTTCTATTGCTGGGTCGAGTAGGTTTGCAACATGATCGGGAATGGCTTCTTAAAAGTCTAACTGGTGAAATCCTTACTCAGAAGAAGGTGAATAAATTATGGAATGGCTGATATTTTTCTTGTTTCCTTTTCTATATGAAAGATTAATTTATCTGAATTTCTTTTGTAGGTTCCTGACATGTGCTCTATTAGTACTTATATTGACCTCAGTACAGGAAGAATGTTTGTAGAGTCCCCTCGATGTAGAGCAAAATTGCAGATCAACCTTAAGACAGATTCATATCCTGGTGGGATAGAAGAGATTAAGTTGCGTGGCCACAGGTATGGTAATACTAAATTTAAAGTTTTATGGGCTTGTAGTTTCATGTTTGTTTATTCTAGAATTTGATAAATGTGGCATTTTTGTTGTGGCATTTTTGTTGGACTGTCTGAAAATGTCTAATACCAACTTCATTTTTTTTTAATAATATTATGTGAAATGTTGAATATTCCATTGCAAAGTTGTTGCTTTATAACTATGTTTAGAATATTCCTATTATCTTACTCGTACGTTCTCTTAGTCATATCCATGATAGTAAGCATGGTTCATATTCAGTGTGAAGGTTGTGATGGTTGCTTGTCCATGAAGCAGATATGAAGTCCGGCACTATGAGAATGATGTTGACCTGTGGTTTAGCCATGCTGTTGGCTGTCCTTGTACTTTACTAAGATCTTCTAGTTCCCAGAACTACTCATGCTTGAATGAGGACAGAAGCAGGAACTTGTGCAGAGATGTGGAGAGCAGATTGAATTTTGCCAATGAAGCTCAGTTCTTATTGATATCTGAGGAGAGTGTGTCTGACCTCAACAACAGATTGAGCTTAAGTATGTTATAGTGCACTCCTTTTTGGTCTCATAACTTTACATTCACATAACAAGCTAATATTTGCACTCTTTTTTGGACTGAATAATTTCTTTTCCACAAGAAAATGAACTTTTCTAGGTCTGGTTGTTGCATGGAAAGAAATGTGATTTTATTGATGATTATAGTAATATGCATGAAATTGATGAGAAACCATTATTGGTGATAGTAGATGCACAAAAAGGAACTCGTGGAACAGCAGTTCCAGTCAATCCAATGAGATTTCGGCCCAACCTGGTTGCATCTGGAGGTGAGCCTTATGCTGAAGATGGATGGAGAAATATCAAAATCGGAAATAAGAATTTTATGGTAAGTGCATAACAACTTGAGCCTGTTGACACAGTACAGTTATATGAACTTGCTCTGTTTTTCTATATTTTGTTTAATTTTGCATGCATTACAAATTAATATATGGTTTGAGTCCCTTACAAGTTCAATTAGCAACTTGGAGATTACTTGAATTTTTGCCCTTCTTCAAACCTAAGTCCAGAGAACATTTGCAAGTGGTACGTAGTATGATTTGTACTTTTCTGATTGTTGGATTGATGTAATGGGAAGTTATAATTTGACTCATGAACCATGTAACTCATATTCAAAGGCTGCCAGTAAATTGCCTTGCGAACTCAAAATAGACTGGGTTAATATCCATTTTTCAGATTCAGCATTGAATCTTAATGTCATCGCCTCCATTTGCTTTGGCTAACAGTCACTGGGTGGATGCAACCGCTGCCAGATGATCAATTTAGTTCATCAATCTGGACAGGTGCAGAGGTCAACCGAGCCTTTGGAAACTTTGGCTTCATACAGGAGAGTGAAGGTTAGCCATCACAGTCCTAATCAAAATTGTAATCTCCATTGCAGAGTAAATTAAATTATTTTTCTTTCAGGGGAAGATTTTATTTGGAATATTGTTGAGACACGAGATTCAGAGTAAGATGGGGATGCCTACAGAGTCATGGCTTCGAGTGGGAGAAGAAATTCATCCAAATTCAGAATAGGGACTATTGGGAAAGAAGGAATTGCCTACCCATAAAGCTGATACATTAGATGTCAGCTCTAGAAGCTCTCAAATGTGCACTTACGAGAAATACGAAATGTGCCCTCACTTGTATATCTGCTAATCGTTTCTTCACAGTTAGATACTTCAACTCGATCCTCAAGCAGCTTCGATCCAACACGAAAGTAATTGAGCAAGCTGTTGTTCAGGTTAGATCATGGAGTCCTTTAAAACAAATTTATGTGAGCAGTTAATAAACTGCAACGATAGACTAATAAGCATGTAATTCATCTGGCGTCCGTATCATCCTAAGAGGTTCCGGTGTCAGCCATTGAAAAAAAAGGGAAAAAAAAACGAAAAAGATGCTGGATCGTGATGGATGTAGTTGCTTACCATTGCATCCAATTTCTGAGAATTATTAGTGCGTTACGTCGCCATAAGCCAAATTTTGGGTTGTATATTTCCTTTAATTTCATTCATTTTATTTTCTTTTTACTATTTATTTATTTAGTTTTAGTTAATTTTATTTATTCTTTAATTTGGGTATTTCGTTTAAAAAAAAGGAATAAAAAATACAAAAAAATTTATTACAGGATTTATTAGCAACATGTTTGAATAAAAAAACTAAAATTGAAATAATTGAGGATACAATTGAAAAAATTGAAAATTTTAAAATTGAAATTAATAGGTATATGTATCTAATTGAAAAAAATAAATAAAAACTATAGGGATTACAATGTTTCGTTTAGATGGTACAATTGAAATAAAATTAAATATAGATGGACCTAAATTGATATGAGATGCAATCGATAAGATCAATTTGGAATCAATTTGAATGATTTGTCAATCCTCAATTTTGCAAAGGCACGTTTGCCTTATACCATACCACCCTTTGACATAGTTCATCTCAATTAATAGCTAGAGGGATAAAACTAGCTTGCACTTGTAGCTCCTAAGATTATGGCTCCTACACTTGTACCAACTTGTATAATAAAAACACCAAAACATGTAAAACATAAGGCACAAATATAAAACACAATTGTTTTGGCTTTGTTTATACAAAACCAAAACCGACAACAAACAAGAGAGTTTGTTCGGTTGTGAGGGTAAGTTTTGGACTTAAGTTAATTGATTTCAAAAGTGAGGAGGAGGATTCTTGGTTATGATTAGAAGTCGAAATTAGGGTTTTAGAGCGGGGAGAGAACTGTGGGAATTATGATAGGAATTGGGAGAGGAAATTTTAGAAAGAGGGGAACTATTGGGAATCTCGCAGCAATTGAAGGAGAAACAATTGAGAGAAACAGGAGAGAAATCGAGATGGAATAGAGAGGGGAACAATTGGGAGCTATAGAGAGGCATAATTGACATAAACAAATTTCAAAGACTTTAGAGGTTTAGAGTTTTTATTGGACTTTTAGGAAGAAGATGATTTTGGGCCGTATCACCAAATTAGCTTTTGTAATTTCTAGGTTTTGAAAGAACACCGTTTCACCATTTAGACTAGCAACCATCTATTTCTAGTCGCTCATCCTCAATTAGGCATCTGCAGATCAAACAACTAGGTAAGAATCTATTATTTAGTTCCTTGATTTGCAACTTCTATTAGCTTCAATCAATCAAAAAAGAAACAATTGATGACAGTGATGAAATCACTATCATCTAGAAAAATCTCACACTACTCAAAATTTTCCCTTATGGGTTTTGAATTCTCGAAATGAAGGAGAGTATGGTTTTGATGGCTTGAAAGGTTGGATTCTAGGCTTAGTTAGTATGATTTTAGGATTTGGAGTTCGATTAAGAAAGTAGAAAGAATCTAGGGGTTTCAAGTTGAAAAGTAAGAAAAGGAATTAGGTAAATTTGTTAAGGGTTTCGGTTAGTCCGAGGGTGAGAAGGAGATGGTTTAAAGAGGAGAGCTTTAATATTGCTCGAAGGGAAGAAGATGGAGGAGTAATGGGTGTTAGCGTTTTTTGATTCTTTTGTAGTTTCGATTTGGGGAAGGATAATTAATCTAGGGTTTTGGATTAGAGAGAGAGAAAAAAGGAATTGATCTTGTCTTTTGGTGTTGGTTTAGGATGAAAAAGAAGAAGATGAGGGTTCAAGCGTGAGGGGAAGAAGATGAGACAATGAGCTAGGAAATTACGATTCGGGGAAGAAGAAAGGCTAGAGAATTAATCTTAGGTGATTTGGGACTCGGTTTAGGAAATGTTTTAAAAGGGTCCGGAGAGCTTGGTCGGGCTAAAACAAAATGGGAGGGAGGCTTGGTGTTAGTGTAGGTGCCTAAGATCCAATCTGTTTGGATGGTTTGATGTATTGTAACATTGCATTTTGATATAAATAAAGAAATCTTTTTATTAATTCTTGTTAATTATAATTTGATAAAATTAGATAAAAATCTATATGATATGCATTAAATTAACAATTAATCAATAGATGTGAGATAAATATCAATGCATTTAAATGATATCATTAACTATCTCAAGTCATAGCATTATCAAGAATAGATATTGACAACATGTGATAAAATTGTAAGTACCATGCTCTTGCTATAAGATAGTAGCAGGAGATCTCATATTTACCGGCATGGTGATGCTAAAACAAGTACTTAGGTGAATAATGTTAAAGAACATATCACTAGATGTGACTCGCCATGAGAACTCATCTAGTTTAGTAAATGGGAATATCATACGAGAAAGGTAAAAGTGATTCTTTGACTTGAAGTTATCACAATTATCTCATTGGAGGATTGATGTAATTTGACATTCGTTTCGATGGGCATAGTAAAGAGTCGCATGTGGACGATTCGTTGGGTGCATTAGGAATCTAATGGAGATAGGTAAGTGACTAAGATAAGACGAGTCATTCCTTGTTCAACTAAAATTGAAATAATTGAGGATACAATTGAAAAAATTGAAAATTCTAAAATTGAAATTGCTAGGTATATGGAAATAATTGAAAAAAAAATTAAAAAGTATAGCGATTACAATCATTCATTTAGATGGTACAATTGAAATAAAATTAAATATAGATGGATCTAAATTGACATGAGACGCAATCGATAAGATCAATTTGGAATCAATTTGAATGATTTGTCAATCCTCCTTAATTCTACAAAGGCACGTTTGCCTTATACCATACCACCCTTTGACATTGTTCATCTCAATTAATAGCTAGAGGGATAAAACTAGCTTGCACTTGTAGCTCCTATGATTATGGTTCTTACACCTGTACCAACTTGTATAATAAAAACACCAAAACATGCAAAACATAAGACACAAATATAAAACACAATTGTTTTGGCTTTGTTTATACAAAACCAAAACCGAAAACATACTAGAGAGTTTGTTCGTTGTGGGAGAGAGTTTTGGACTTAAGAGAATTGATCTCAAAAGTGAGGAAGAGGATTCTTGGTTATAATTAGAAGTTGAAATTAGGGTTTTAGAGTAGGGAGAGAACTGTGGGAATTGTGAGAGGAATTAGGAGAGGAAATTTTAGAAAGAGGGGAACTATTAGGAATCTCGGAGCAATTGAAGGAGAAACAATTGAGAGAAACAGGAGAGGAATCGAGATGGAATAGAGAGGGGAACAATTGGGAGCTATAGAGAGGCATAATTGACGTAAAAAAAATTTCAAAGAGTTTAGAGGTTTAGAGTTCTTATCGGACTTTTGGGAAGAAGATGATTTTTGGCCGTATCACCAAATTAGCTTTTGTAATTTGTAGGTTTTGAAAGAACACCGTTTCACCATTTAGACTAGCAACCATCTATTTCTAGTCTCTCATCCTCAATTAGGCATCTCTAGTCAAACAATTAGGTAAGAATCTTTTATTTCCTTCCTTGATTTGCAACTTCTATTAGCTTCAATCAATTAAAAAAAGAAACAATTGATGACAAGTGATGAAATCACTATCATTTGAAAAAATCTCACACTACTCAAAATGTTCCCTTATGGGTTTTGAATTCTCAAAATGAAGGAGAGAATATGGTTTTGATGGCTTGAAAGGTTGGATTCTAGGCTTAGTTAGTATGATTTTAGGATTTGGAGTTCGATTAAGAAAGTAGAAAGAATCTAGGGGTTTCAAGTTGAAAAGTAAGAAAAGGAATTAGGTAAATTTGTTGAGGGTTTCGGTTAGTCCGAGGGTGAGAAGGAGATGGTTTAAAGAGGAGAGCTTTAATATTGCTCGAAAGGAAGAAGATGGAGGAGTAATGGGCGTTGGTGTTTTTTGATTCTTTTGCAGCTTTGATTTAGGGAAGGATAATTAATCTAGGGTTTTGGATTAGAGAGAGAGAGAAAAAAGAATTAGTCTTTTCTTTTGGTGTTGGTTTAGGATGAAAAAGAAGATGATGAGGGTTCAAGCGTGAGGGGAAGAAGATGAGACAATGAGCTAGGAAATTACGATTTGGGGAAGAAGAAAGGCTAGTGAATTATTCTTGGGTGATTTGGGACTCGGTTTAGGAAATGTTTTAAAAGGGTCTCGGAGAGCTTGGTCGGGCTAAAACAAAATGGGAGGGAGGCTTGGTGTTAGTGTAGGTGCCCAAGATCCAATTTGTTTGGATGGTTTGATGTATTGTAACATTGCATTTTGATATAAATAAAGAAATCTTTTTATTAATTCTTGTTAATTATAATTTGATAGAATTCGATAAAAATCTATATGATATACATTGAATTAATAATTAATCAATAGATGTGAGATAAATATCAATGCATTTAAATGATATCATTAACTATCTCAAGTCATAGCATTATCAAGAATAGATATTGACAACATGTGATAAAATTGTGAGTACCATGCTCTTGCTATAAGATAGTTGCAGGAGATCTCATATTTACCGACATGGTGATGCTAAAACAAGTACTTAGGTGAATAATGTTAGAGAACATATCACTAGATGTGACTCACCATGAGAACTCATCTAGTTTAGTAAATGGGAATCTCATATGAGAAGGGTAAAAGTGATCCTTTGACTTGAAGTTATCACAATTATCTCATTAGAGGATTGA